GTTGAGGATTTGGGGTTTAGGGTTTAAGTTTAGGGTTGAGGATTTGGGGTTTAGGATTTAAGTTTAGGGTTATGTTCTTAGGATGTCAGAAGGGGACGCCGCGGACGCTTGTAGGATTTAGGGGTTTAGGCCTCCTCGCACAAGGCTTGGGGCTTCGGGCTCAGCTGAGGCTTTAGGGACGTTAGAGAAAAGTAACTAATTCCTACATCGGAGTTCTATTGCCACTAAGCCCTGTCCGAACGAGGACCCTCAAACCCCTCACGACGATGCAACTTCGAGAGCAGGTCTGTCTTCATTTGTATCTATCTACATATCTGTACCAATATATTTATATATATTTATGGTCAATTATTTATATATGTATGTGTGTGTATGTGTATGTGTGTATACTGCATGTCTGTCTGTCTGTATGTCTGTCTGTCTGTCTGTCTGTCTCTGTCTCTGTCTCTGTCTCTGTCTCTGTCGCTGTCGCTGTCTCTGTCTCTGTCTCTGTCTCTGTCTCTGTCTCTGTCTCTGTCTCTGCCTCTGTCTCTGTCTCTGTCTCTGTCTGTCTGTCTGTCTCCCTCTCTCTCTCTCTCCCTCTCTCGCAGGTGGCACAGCGAGCCCGGGCTGGTTGAAGCGCCTCGACACCGATTCGGGCCACGCAGCGACGCACCCTACATGTGTCTGCACCTAGGTTGGGGCCATCCATCAGCGCGATGGCTCACGATGCAGGCCATCAGAATCAGAGCCGAAGGGTGCACCGCCTCTCCTCCGCGCGTCGCGCTGGCTCCAGGCTTTCAGTCCGTGGATGTTTCTGGAGACAGCCACTGGGCAACGAAGCTTTCACAGTTCAAGGCCAGGCCGGTGGAACTGCCGTGGTCTGAGCTTGGGGGAAGCGCTGTCAGGTGGACCTGGATGGCATTGACACGACGAGCCTCTGCAAACCTTCCTGCCGGAGCCTCGGGAGCCTCGGGGGCCTCGGGGGCCTCGGGGGCCTCGCGCGTGCACACGGGTGTGTGTGTGTGTGTGTGTGTCTGAGTTGCACGTCCAGGTGGGGCTCTTATCGATTCTGGCACGTCGCTCTTGACTTTCCCACGCTCTGCAAGCCACATTACGGATGCCTTGAAGCAGAAGGCGCCGTTTAGCACAGTCGCAGGTTGCGGGGACAGCGGATGCTTCGTGCCATGAGGTGAAAAAAGATTGCAGCAACTTGGATCAGCTGCCGACCTTGTATTTCGAGCTGGACGGAGCAGAGGTGTGCGATGGTGTGCGGTTCCGCTCTGCTAGGAGAACTCGGATCATGTCCCCGGTTCAGGTGGTTCTCCCACCCCGGGCATACATTTTCAAGGCCAGGTGTGCCGTGGAAACGGCTGCATCACTCAATCGCCCCATCCCAGGTTCTAGATAACAATGGCAACCCATATTGCAGAGGGGCGTTCATGAAGGTGGATAAGGAGAGCTGCAAGGGCAATGCTGCGTTGGAGACTCTTGAGCTGCCTTCTCCGGTTGCTGACCGAAGGAGTCACAATTTGGGGAGGTCTTCATTTTGGGCATGCCGTTCTTGCGCTATTATTTCACGGTTTTCGACCGGCAGAACAAACAAGCCCCTTGGCCCATGTCACTTTCAAGAAGGTCGAGAAGGCTTTATTTGGTGTAGAATCCGGTGGGAATGAGCAAACATGCAGTTTAGAAGCTGGCTCCTGTTGCGAATTCGTTGAGTTGCTGATCAAAAATTGGAAGTCCCTGCCCGTTCCAAAGCAGTTCACTCACCCTCTGGTTGTCCGTCTGGAATTTCGTGGAGCATTTGACAAGGCGACTAGTACATCCATCCACCGTGAACATCCGTCAATCGCCACTCCTATCCGATCCTATCCGGCGAGTATAGTGCATTGCACGCAGTGCTAACAATAACAACCTAGTGTTTGCTGGAGGCTGGGTCCCACCCCTGATCTGTGTCCGTCCGAGCTGTCTCGAGTTCCCAGGAACCGAGTCGGGCCTCATGCCCCGCGGGTCCTTGGAAGTCCCAAGGACAAGATCCGTTTTCTCGAGCCATGGCTTCCGATCTGCCGACTGCGGAGCAGCCTAATGGCATCACCACGGTTGTTTGGCCCTTGCGTGGGCAGGGCTCGATGCCGCTGTTTGGGGATGCGTGGATTCGGCTTTGGGTGGTGTCCCAGGTCTTCGGATTCTCGGGAACATCCCCGCCGATGCTCTCCACACTGCGGTCTTGGTCGCGCGCGTCGTCCGCGTCGGGAACAGTGGGAGAGCCGGATTCCGTAGCCCCCGCACATCCCCGCACAAAAGAAGCCTGATGGTGATCGAGTCGACGCAGGTGGGGCGGACGAAGCAGAGGTCCCGGAGCTGAGCAGACCGAGATAGACGACTTCAAGGTGCTGGGAAAACACAACAAGGGACCGGTTCGGCGAGAAGCAGAACCGTCCCCGGACCAGGTATCCGCTCTCAAGGTAAGGATCATGGATCTGGACCTGTCCCCTTACGCGGACTTCGCCCTCTTCGTCAACTGCCAGCACAGAGCCTCAAGTTCAAGAACAAGTTCAAGAACCGCATCCTTCAGCCGGACGGGGAGGCCCCGCGAACTATGATGCTTGGCTCGCGTCTTGGAATGTGTTCGAGAACGCCCTGCTCATGTTCCAGGTGAAGGACCCGAGTGGGCACGACCCAAACTGTCTTGGAGCTGTGCAGGGACTCGTTCCGGGATTTAGTGCGACGAGCGCATCGCGCTCCCGCCTCGCGCTTTGGCCGCGGGCGGGCTGGAGCTTTGCACGGTGGACATCGCGGATGCCTTTCTTAACCTCACCATAGAGGAGCAGGAAAGAAGGCATGCGGTGCGGGACGCAGAGGGCACCTACTATGCGTACAGGGGGCTGCCTTTTGAACTCGACACGGCCCCCTTTTTCGGGCCGAACAAGTACGTTGCGTGGATGGATCAGGTCCCGCCCCCCGCCCGTGCACACCCAAGCCCAAGCTGGAGGTCCAGTCCAGCATGTTTAGAATGCTGTTGCGCAGTGCGTACGCGTTGTTTCGACCTTGCAAGTTCGGCACTAGTTTCTGCTTGTAGCAAGTCGCAGCAGTTTCGCGGGCAACTTTTCAGCATGGCGATCTTCGTGTAGAGAGACTCCAAAAATATTTTCCATTACGCACGCATCTGCCTTTCTACTGCACTGTTTGCCTCGTTAAATTTCTGCGCGATGATCTAAAGCGAACCTTGCGGTTGCTGACGCAACTGCATATTGCGACTTGCCTGTTCAGGGTTGCATGGGATTGGCATTTTGGGTTTTGAGGTTAAAGGGCTTGGGGTTTATGGGTTTGAGCGGGCTTCCCGACCTTCAAGGGTTCTAGCGGATGCTATACCGATGACAGGTTGGGGCTTGAGGGCTTTCGGTTATGGTTTTGGCGTTTGGCGCTTGTGATCTGGCTTTCAAGGTGTAAGGTTCAGGGTTGAGAGTTAAGGCTTGCTGACAGACTGCTAGTACTGGTAATGTTCTCGGGCCGGCATTTGCCAACCAGCTCTCTGCTTCTTTTCCGAGTGGAATTCGCAACACTTGTCAGCATTCAGCAAGGACCGTGATTTCTTCGACTACTGTCAGCTCGTCACCCCACCCGAAAATGTTGATACACCCGGGATCTTTTCGCCACGCTCGAGTGATTCGAACTGCTTTGCTGCCATAAATTCGCTTGACCAGCCCGACCTCTTCCCTGCTGTGCTTCCTTCCCTTAGCTTTCGTGGCCCTCTTCTCAAGTGTGAGCTACCGTGGCCATGCCATACGCAGCGAGCCTTAAGCTTTTCAACACCAGTAAGCCAGAAGGGAGTCAGCAACTATCGAGAAATCGATGTTTGAATCCTGCGTGGACAGCTAAGCCATCCCACAATGTTGGCTAGTCTTTCAAGTGCGCCCGTCACGTGCAGACTCCAAGGCGTGGAAATGCATAGAGCGATCCTTGCTCGTCAATGCCAATCAAGGAAACCCAATGTTCTCTACCCTCTATGATTCATTCATCCTTCCTGGCGAACGGCTGATTTCCCAATCCCTTGCTCCGTGTTTACCGGTTTACCAATCCTGGTTTGCGAATCTGATTGGCGTGCGCTGGTTTACGAATCGTGGTTTCCGGATTGGAGCCCGGTACAGGTAGGTGTATGCATTGCATAGCCGTCCAGGACACAGATCGACAAATAAGCTCCCATACTTACACCTCGCAGCTGACTCAGGTGCACATCGCGAGATCGACCGAAGACTGTCAGGCAGATGCGTGCTGTCGTATCTTGTGCGATTGCTTTTCAGATGCGTCTCTCTATGCAGGTTGCGCATCACATGTCCTTGTTAGCAACAAATGCGAGCGCTGGGTTCTCAATTTCTGAGATGGGTTTGACAATCGAGCACGATGCTGTCAAACTAAAGCTCCGCCTCCGACGCTCAACGATCTAGGAAGTTATGTAAGATCTGGAGCACCTCACGTAAATCAAATACTCGGCAACTGGCAATTTCGCCCCCGAGGCTTCGGGCCGTTCCGGCCGACATGGCTTCGGGTCTGCCGATTTCCAGGAGGCATGGTGTTCATTGAACGGGCGGGATCTGGAAGTCGAAAAAGGGTGTTCTTCGAGGCGACTCCTGCAGACCTGGATGACGTGATTTCGCCAGCCTGGGTCAGCGCTGAAGGGCAGTACATCCACCTCTGAGCCTTCTTCCTTCGCGGTTGTACAGTTCCATTCGCCATCATGTTTCACCATGCTTCCCATTGCTCTGCAAATCCTGCTGGCATGCGAACATGCTGCTAGAGCTTCGAAGGAGTGGACTTGCAGCCATCTGCGGGGTGACTGTTGTGCTCGCTCAGAGAAGTCAGGCAGCTCTCTCCAATGATAAGCTGAACAAAATCGACAACAAGTGGGTCGAGGTCAAGCGATGCATGCCACAGGACAGGCCAACCGCACTATCAACTTGTGTGGATGGTTCTACTAGTTTAGTAACGCATCTCGTCCTGTCTGCTGTCTGAAAGTGATTGTGACGGTATCCGAAGTGATGGACCGGATCACTGGTAGGTGAATTCATCCCGTCACCAGAATCAGCAAGCATGTGACTGGTATGTACACTGCAGGAGGTGATGCGAGCCCGAGAAAGCGGCAAGAAGGCCGTGGTGCCGCAGAGCGCGATGCATCGAGAGTGTTCGCATAAGCAGCTGAAGGCATGTGATGTGCAAATGAAGATCTGTGGTTTGTGTGAAGGGTGAGAGGGCTTGGGGCCACAAGAGCAAGCGCACTCCTGAAATCATCCAGGACGACTTCGAGCCCGAGCGTCGGCAGCCAATGTTGGATGTTGGTCGTGTTGGAAAGGGCCTTGTTGCAAGTGACACAGTGTTACTCTGGCTCTGTGCTTCGCCTTATGGACGGCGCTGAGTCTCTGCGGCCTCGCTTGCACTCCCCTTCTGCACTCAGGTCCCAGTGGACCTTATCATGGACCACCTCCAGGCACGGTCACTGTGTCATTGGCTGCACCAAAGCTATCGTCGCGTGCCATGGACCTAAAGCCACCGAGTCAAGCATGTGCAAAGCTGCAAGCCAGGCGGGCCGCCAGGTGGACCACCTCCAGGCACATAGTCTGATGCGTATGAGTACTGATAATCATGTCACTGTGAGCCTGTCTAATAAAAATTATAGATGACACAACATAATACAACACACCATGGCATAACATAATGTAATATAATGGGACATTACATAACATAGCATATCGTAACAACATGTAATACAGTTTTATATGACTCATGATCATATAGTATAGCCCAGAATGGCAGTACGGTACAGTACAGTAGTCTAGTCTAGTCCAGTCCAGTCCAGTCTGGTCTAGTTTAGTCGACTTTAGTTTACTCTAGTCTATTTTGTATAATATAGTATAGTAGAATCTAATATAATAGCGGCTAGTATGTTGTAGTACAGTAGAGTATAGTATATTATAGTATAGTATGTACAGTACAGTATAGTATAGTATAGTGTAGTGTAGTGTAGTATAGTGTAGTATAGTGTAGTATATTGTACTATAGTACAAGGGATGACAGCCATTGAGCCATTGGGTTTTGAGGCAGCTGTCTTGTGAAGAGAAATTCATGAACTGGCCGATGCCTATACTCCAATCGTGTACACGCCCTACTCCCCCCAGCATTGAGGGCAGCACCGTAACCCAAAAAGCTATCCGAAACATCTTCAAAAAGTGTTGCCTCCAACTTGCTTCAGGCTATGGCTACCCTCCTCCACCATGCTATGGAGGCAGCGAGCAGTCCAGTGACAGAACAGTCAGGCGTTTGCGGAACGGTCGCCTGCACAACTGTTGGATAGCAGGTTATCCAGGATATCCGCCACCTGGCTACGGTGGCTACCCCTACGGTCGTGCGCTGAGATTCCTTTCGGAAGCAAACCGAACTATGTGTTTTTGTACTCGCGAGCCGGAAGCTTCTCTGCGTGAGGCTACTATCCACCGCCTCCGCCTGACTATTACGCAGCCAAGCCCAGCTGGATTGAACCGTAGGGAGACCAACCCTTGTAATTATGTCTGAAGCTTTGTGCTGGGACACGGATGTGTCAGATGTGACAAGCTGCGACGCTGCCTATGCAACATCCTGTCCTGTGTCATGAAGGTGCTTTTTCACGAACGCTCTGGTCTGCTAGTGTGCACAGTGCCTAACAAGAGGCTGAGAACCCTTAGCAATGCAACGTTACTTAATCTGCAGCCAGGCTTATGGCTATCCACCTCCACATGCGTACGGACCATATGGCGGATATCCGCCAGCAGCGCCAACAAGGTGTTGCCAACAATTTTGCCGGTGGTTCTGGCTTCATCTCACCACCCGTGTACGCTCGTGCAGCATGCTAGCAGATGCTGGAACATGTCTGAACCTTTCCTGACCCTGCAGCGCGGATCCCGACGACAAGCGCAGCCGCTCACGCAGCCGGCGGCGGCGGCGTCGCAGCTGACTGCTGGCACATGCTGGCATGGTCGTGAGAGACGGAGAAGAAACGAGACGAGCGCCTCCGGGTTTTGCCGACTACTAAGCCGCGTGATCGTTTCCGTGAATCACATTCTCTGACCCGTGACTCGTGCGCTAGTCCGTGGCAAAGCACACGAACGCCCACTCCGACATCTTGCTGCGATTATCCAAACCCTCCGACGAATGAGGACCTGAGCCATGCGGCGCACAGCACTCGCCGGAGTTCAACAAGATGGCCCCCACTTAACCGGTTTGCATTTTGCTTACGAGTTGGCAATGCCTCAACATAACTTGATTGCCCCATAAGTGGCAGTTGAAGCGACTCCTCATCCGTTTCCTCCCAATCCCATATCAGACCCGAGAAGGAGTTTAAGCACGCCAAGCGCTGCGACCCCGGCAGTAGCCACGCGAGTGCGTCAGCCGTCACCGTACGAGTCACTCACTGCCTTAGCCCATCTTTGCGCGTTCAGGCTCAGCACTGCAGTATCACATGCAGAAGCCGGAAAGATCTGCGTGTGTGTATATAACACACACACAGATAACAACAGCATATATTTTCAATGTGTACTATATATGTATGTATCTATGCATGCATGCATGCATGCATGCATGCATGCATGCATGGATGGATGGATGGATGTCTGTATGTATGTATGTATATACACACACACATCCTTGGGTTGTCTGTCTGTCCGTCTGTCTGTTGTCTGTAGGACTCGGGCCGCTTCGTCTTCAGCCTTGGCGGCAAGCCTTGATCTGTTTGCGCCGCACACATCGGGTCAGCCGCGTCATGACATGAAGCATCTAGGGTATTCGGACAACCGAGAAGAAGCCGTTGCCCGAGCACGGCGACATGTAAGCAGTTCCGATTCGAAGAGCTATGTTGATCTTGCTTGCGGTCATCCAGCAACAAACCCCGTTCAACCCACCTTGTGAAGCAGAGTCCAGATTCCCATGCCCATAAAACCCCGAGCCAGCGTAACAACTTTCTGACCTCTCTCGAGCTATCGCTGGTGGAATGCACGCTTGGCATGTCGTCTACGCAGTCTGCTTGGCTCCTCGGCTGGCCCCTCTAGGTTTCGGCTGCGTGGGATTGCGCTGGGTCAATGTTCATCAGAGATGAGCAGAGGCTTGGGCGCCGGTTGCCGCCGAGCCCAAGATATCCGTGGTCACAGCATTACTGCCCCCAAGAGGCACGAGACGGGTTTGGAGAACGGGATTGCTTCTCCGCTTGCTCGCACGAGAGGAGCTCCCGGTGATGCGGCCCGTGCAGACAGTGAACCTGGAACGCGCGGGGCGCGCCTGCGAGTGGAGGCTTCCGGCGGCTGCTTCCGCTGGATCTCCCAAAGGTGCCTAAAGATGCAAGAACTTCTTTTTGTCTGGGAACGACTCGATGCCGCAGCTCAGGCCCGACCTGGTGGCTTTGGAGGAGCCGCTGCCGGAGGAGTTGCCGCCCCGGCGAGCTGCCGAGGCCGAGGCAGAGGCTGCCTGCCAGGAGGCGCCGAAGTACATGCAGAAGCAGTCTTAAGCAGTGCACCCAGTGCAGAAGCAACGTGTGCTGGCCAGGCATGCTTGCACGTGGGACGCCAGTTCCTTGTGCAAGAGGATCCAGGCGCAGGTGATGGCTGCAGCTTGGCGTTCAGAGAGGGTTTCTGAGTCACACTAAAAAAAAAATTGGAATTACTGATAACCTATCTTTGCTTCCTGAGACTGTACCCTGCGATTGCTGCTGAAAGCGGAGGTCAGCCAGTCGCAATCATTCGCAGCCTCGCGGAAAGCGTAGATAACGTCGAGAAGGTCCTGGTTTTGGCCCAGGATATTCATTCATCCGGGGTTGAACTCCGATACTTGGCATGCAATATGCGTCTCCGTTTCTGGCTTGCGCGGAAGGAGTCGTGCTTGTGCAGCTACCTTGAAAGCAACAGAGGATGTGAAGTTTACATCGCCAACATCCACAGAATCGAGGCCTTTTCCAAGATGGCCTGAGTTCGATTCTTGACAGACAAGACCTTCAGTTCTCGTCAGGTTGAGACTTCTGTGCGCAGAATAAATGTGGATGATGTGGAGACGCTCGGTGTCAAGGCTGCATTCCGCCGGTGAGATGTCGACTTGGAAAGGTGCAAGTCGTCACCCCGTCGGGCCGCTTTGATGTTTTCCGCAGGCCTACGACAAGCAGGGCAACGTTTTTTCGTCGCTGGAGGGTCTGCAGTCGCTTGCCTCAGCTTGGGACAGCGAACCGTTTGTGTCTGCCCAGTGTAGGATGTTGCAAGCTGCGCACATCTGCGCACAAAGGTTCAGGTGGCGCATCGGAGACGAAAGCATATTGCAGAGACCGAAGCTCGTCGACTCGGTGGGCGGACGGTTTGCACCGTGAATGAGACCCTTATCCGCTGTTCCTTTGATTTCACTTCTGACAGCTCGAGCTGGTGTGGGAGGGATGGACCAGTATCCACACTGGATTGAAAAGTTGCACAAGCATCTACCGAAAACACTTTTTCGGTGTTCGAAACCAGGATTAATTCGTGGCAGGAAACGCTTGGAATTTTAACCATGGTAAGTTGGCGACCAGAAACATTCAGTCCATTCCACGACAATTTCGAGACCAATTGTGAGGGGAATAATCAATGTTCACAGGCGGAGGTTTGTGCATCGGAGCCTTGCCCTGGGCCCCATGAAAATTAACAGGCCTTCAAGCTGAGCCCGGTTCGCCGTGCGTTGGCAGAGGCCGGAGAGAATTTGGGGGTCTCCGTCGCTCTAAAGCCGCTTTGATGTGACATGATGTGAGGCTGGGGCAGATCCTGACACGGTCCTCCTCCGTGGTGTTGCAACCGGGAGGCTGGGCCCCGCATGTGCGCTTGTCCCGCTTTCATGGCACCCATGAGAAGGACAACGGTCGGCGCCAACTTGACTGTTGCTGGCATGCGGCACGTTATCTCTCCCGATGTGCCCTTGACGGTGCTGGAAAACATCGCAACTAGTCTGCCCTCAGCCCACCTTCGTACGGTTTCGACGCAGTCAGCTGCAGACCATGCAGCCCCAGCAAGGTACTGCTGCCATCGCTGATGCGGGCACCGCCCATGGCACATCTGCAGCTTCAACTTAAGGTCCTTCGCGGTCCACGCCGCCCTCTGGAGGAGTGGCAGCTTTGCAAGGCTTCCCGAGAAAAGCGTCGCAACCAAGTTTCCACCCTGTAAGGAGTTCCCATCAGTGGCACTACCAGTGCCACATTTCAGCTGGCACGCGCAGGCAGTGGAAGGCGGCACCTTTTTAACCCCTGGCCAACTACCCACTGCTAATCCGACAACTAGCACAGCCATTGCAACCGCTTTTGTCACCACACAACCACCATCCATTTTTCACCTGCCACCCACTGGCACCACGACCACAACTGTGACCATAGCCGCAGCAACTACAATGACCATAGTTGCTAGTTACGGTAGGTTGTAATTCCAGACCATGCTGTAAATGCAAACGTGAGACCCCAACCCTGGGGGCTCGCAGTAAGTGAAGCTCTTCTGGAGATCCGGAGACCTTAGCTTCAACTTTCCGCAGTTGAGATCAACTTGTCAGACAGATGGAGCCAGTTCGAGGGTCGAGTCTCGTACTTGTAGATCTCGAACGAGAAAGACATGCCTCAGTGCCTCACAATCCCACGTCCCACATTTTTTTGTGTCTCTTGCACGCCCTTGCAGGTGGCCCGGACGTCCTGTTCGTCCAGCCGCAGATGGGCCTTGTAGTGACTCAGCATCTTGGCTCTGGGCGAGTTCTGGCGGTGGACTCGCGAGTCTCGGCTAATTTGCAGCACTCTTGAACACTCATTGCTCCTGGGGCAGGCCTGATACTTGTTCGTCGGGATCAGCTCTAAATCCCGACATGTTGACGAACTTTGCACGAAGACGATCTGGCTATTTTGTAATATGGTGCTTTTGTTTTGATGATGTGTGCATCATGCTGTCGACGATTATGCTGTCATGTGAAAGAGGAGGCTGTTATGGTGAGGTCGATGTGAGGTTGTGTCTTGGGTTGTCGTGAGGTTCCATGGCATGATGTGGAAAGCTTGGCCTTCAGGTTTGCGGGGTAGTGCGCGGGTGTACGTAAAGACAAGCGATGTGCGGTGTTGGTGTTTCGTTCAAGCAGTTACGAAAAGTTGTGCAGTTTCCTATGAGCTCTTTGTTTGACAGCTTTGAAGGCCCGAGGTCGGAGGGTGTTTCGTCACCCACCATTCCCGCCCGAGTGAGCCGCGCTGTTCGTACTGAACTTTTCGGTCGCATCGCTCAGCGCACATAGTGCCAAGCGCTTGCAGTGATCGAGGCACACCAAGGCCCTCGGACAGCGGACTGGTGAACAAGTCCGTAGTGCGAGCGAACTGTGTTACACGGCAACAAGCTTGTCTGAGGTTGGTTGGCGTTTAGTTAGCAGGGGTCGCCGTGTCTTGCAAAATGGCCCTGTGCGTGCGGTGCAGCGACGATTTATCCTTGGATTCTTGCTGGCTCCAGTGTCTTCGAGAACGCGAAATGGCACTGTGCATGTGGTGCCGTGACGGTTCGTGTTCCGATTTGACAACCCTCTCGGTGATGCCGGCGCCGCCGCATTTTCCGGGCATCACCGCATCTTCGGATCCGGTAAGCGCAACCAACCCACTGTAAATTCCAATACATGGGCCTCATGTCGGCCTCGAAATGAAACCCCTATCGGCGGACCCGGCGTGTCCGCATCCTCCGATAAGCGCGATCCATTGTAAATTCAATGCGTTGGCCTCATGTTGGTCTTGATTTGACAACCCTGTCTGGCTTGTGGGATGCCGCCGGCGTATCTGCATCTTGCGGTAAGCACGATCCAATTGTGCATTCCAACACGTGGACCTCATGTTAGCCTTGAAATGACAGCCTTCTCGGTGGACGCAGCCGGTCCAGCGCTGCGTGTGCGTGTGTGTGTGTGTGGGGTGCTGCGTTCATTGTAGCCTCGAGTTCTCTGAGTCCGTCAGCATTTTGGGGAAGCGTCGGAGCATGTTGGCAGAGTTTGTGCATCAGGCCAGTACATCGGGGGAAGAATTTTGGCCGTGCTCCTGAATCCCATCTGATTCCAGCCAGTACATGGGGGGAAACTAGCTCGGCGAAACATTTTGGCCATGCTCCTGACTACCAGCTCATGTCATGCGCTTTGTGACTTCTTCTGCACCGCACAGCGCAGCGAAGACTGAATACTGTCAGGACGGATCCCTGGATCCGTTTGTGTTCTGCCTCTACTTCCGTGCAGGGTGCACGGATGTCAAGACTCAGCTTCTTGTGGCATCACTGCTGCGTCGTCTCGGCTTTTCGAGCTTGGCACAGCTTGTAACCGCTCAGCCGTAGTTGCAACAATACTTTCCGCCCTTCGGCCTCCGCCAGAGCGTCTTACGAGGTCTTGCAGAGCCTCATAAAAATTTGTTACTGTATGCCACTGTAAAGTCTCTAATTTCCTGAAGCCTGCAATGACGGAGTTTTCTCTCCTTCAAGCGAGATTCCTTTTTTGAAGCCTACCGATGAGGTTGAGAATTGTTGAGATGTCGCCCTTGCCTTTAGCAAGCGAGTTTGATGGAGTGTGGTCTGTTTCGTTCACATTCAACATTTGGCAGATGCAAAAGTGCATTCCTGTCTGCGACGGGTTGGTAGAGCAATAACACCGTCAATCCAGGTTGTTATAGTTCAGATTGCTTTGACGGCACTCACTAAAACATCTGATATACCGACGGGCCAGCCCTGAGGGCTAGATGGCCACGCTTTCGCAGATCCCTGCCAAGCCCGAAATCGTGTGTGCTGGGCCAAAACTGAATGTTCTTTTGGTGGCGCCCGCAGATCAGGAATTGAGAACAACACTGCGGCGTCGATCGTTCATGCACCTTCTCTGCATGTGTGTTTTCAAGGATTTTGCCGCATGTCGTAAGCAGTTTTTATTCTGGACAACAGAATCACTCCGGAGGTTGTAAACCCTGCAGTGCTTCGCTTCACCACGCTGCCTCTATGGCGAGGGCCTGGCGTTCCCATCGATGCTCGCGCACCAGGCAGTCGGCTGGCTTGGTCATGCTTCGTCCTGTAACATCTACGTGCAACCTCAGTCTGTCCAGGGCTGATCTCGGAATGTAGACTGTTCTTTGTCTGCTGCTCTTGCTCTTGCAGGATGGCTGGGGACGCTGGAAAGTGGCTGGGAAGACGCAGAGCTGCAGGTGCTACGCTTCGACACAGCAGGAGTCTCCTCAGCCCCTCGGCAGCGTTGATTTTAACTATGCATGAGATGGCTGCCGATACTTTCAGCTGCAGCATTGCTGGTTCGTGTGTGATGCGGAGGCAGAGCCGAAGCTTCAGCTCGTGCAGGGTAGGCGTGGCCTGGACAAGTGACAGAAGCAAGCACTTTTCGAACTCAGCGGACTGAACTGCGCAGGACGTATGCTCTGAAACTGGAGCTGATGGACGACCTTTCGCAGCCGATGCACCTCTGCAGCAGCTGAGATACTGCCACAAGCGAAAGTGCGACAGTGCAGATTGTTTTCACATCCGAGCTTCTGCTGACTTGCTTGGACTTCTAATATCTTCTAATTCTGCAGCTGAAGCTCAGAGGTACACCTTTTGAGGGATAGACTCCGACATGCTCCCGAGGAGGGAAGCAGGCCCTGAGACGCCTGCAAGAGCGACTGAGGTCGCGGAGGCCGATGCTGGAACGTTTGGAGATCCCATCCCAGGTCCCGAAACAGGAGCCTGAACTCATTCACATCCTGCTGGGACGAGCAGCATGGCTTCCCTCTACTACAACAGACTTTGAACAGTACAATCATGGGGCATGGAGCCCGCCCACATGTGCCACCCTTTGTCTTGGACTCGGAAAAGTTCGCTACACACACTCTTCGAGAGTCCCCAGCGAGCTAAGCCCGACGTTGTGTCCCATGCTCATTTCGTCCGACCTCGTGGCCGTGCAATGTGCCAAAGCACCTTACGCATGTCTCTCTCGCAGGAAGGCCCCTGTGCCAAGCCTTTTTAGACAGCGAAGTGAAGAGCCCCTCACAAGAAGCATTGGCAGGGAAACCATCCCACCCGCAGGCAGCTTTGCTAATCACAGAAGCAAAGCATGGGATGCTCGCGAGCCTACCGAACCTGACCTCCTCAGCCTCCACTTACCAGGCCTGGAAACCGAAGTAGCCAGCATTCGCGGGTGCCCCTGTGGAGCGTCACTGTGCCTCCTTCGCATGGGGGTCGAAAAGGCTTGACGTGGTTTAAGCATGTTCAAGCTGAAGGGCAAATCCCCCGTCTTTCTTGTGTAAAAGCGACGCAGATTTTCCCTCGAGGGAAGGAGCGCGTTAAGCCCGGTGGGGGATACCATTGGCGGCGGGCAGGACCAGGAACGCAACGAGGGCACATAACATGTTGATTCAACACACTAGGGGCAATAAATGGTAATAAGTTTAGCTCTTAGGGGTAGGAATGCTTGCTGTCTTGCAGAGTGTTGCGGCTCATACGAGTTACTGCTTCTATCTGCTTCTTCTTCGACACGTCCGTGTGCTTTTTGCTGTGCCCTCACTGCCGGCGTGAAAGCAGCTGCTGGCTGTTGTGGAGATGTGTGGAAGGTTGAGGAGGTGTGGGTTCGCGCACATTCCAAGTATTTCCAAGTAGATCCTGCACCTTCAAACAAGAGATCGCACATGCCAACAATCCGAGCTAGGCAGATTCCACTGAACCTTCGAGCAGAAGCTCGCTGTGTCGTCACTTGGCTCGCATCCGACTCGTGAAGGGGCGGTTTGCGTGACAGTAAGAAGGCTGCAACGTCTTTGTTTCCGGCTTGTCGCATTCTGATCGCCCTTGCTGATGCTGTATTAGCGGTTAGGTTCTGTTCCAGCACCTTTCGAGGCCGAGCCCGACATGCCGCCGGCACTGCAGCTGTTACATCAGGCGAGGACTTCTTCGGAGAGTTCGGACCGAGCTTTTCCGAACGGGTTTCAGGCTTCCAATTCTGCGGTCATCATCTTCCGTGCAGTGGTGCCGGGTGAGGCCGTGGCACTCAGGTGCAGACATCATAGACCTCCAACTGCAGAGTTCGGACGTTCAGGGCGTCATCACCATCGACGGCTTGACTCTCCAGGCTGACAGCGAAGACCAGGCGCAACAGAACGGCTTTTCATGGCTTGCGAAACCTTGTTCCCGCAAAGAGGCCCGTGGCCTGAAGACGCTTGCGTTGAAGCTCACGGCGAAGCAGGCGAGAGGAAGACCGATATTGCTTGCGGTACTGATGGTCACATTGCGGACAGGTTTTCCACGTGGCGCCTGAGTTGCGACCACTGGTGCCGGTTCCGGGACCGATGCTTCTTCCGAGGCGGTGCTACCAGCCTTCCGTAGAATCAAACGTCAGCACACGTTCAGGTGGCATTCCTACTTGCTGAAGGTCGCAGGTGGAAGCGGCCAGCAGGTCCAAAACATGTCGGGCGACATTCGCACAATTCTGAAATTTGTAGCTAGCATGGGTCATCATGCGTCCCGCAGGCGTTTGCTCTGACCCAACTGAATCCAGCCGGTGTGGCCAGCGTTTCTGCCGAAGGCCGCGTGCAGGCTGGGAGTTTGGCAAACACACTGTCGAATACGTCGGAGTGCCGGATTGTGTGCAACGAAATAAGTTGATGCATAGATACTGTAAATATTTAGAAATCGATGAATATATATATATATATATACACACACACATATATATATATATGTATATGCGTGTGTGTGTGTGTATCTTAGTAGCTGAGTTGAAACACGTTACAATTTTTGGGATGAAGCTGGAAGAAAGTGTATACTTTTCTGGGCTTAGGAACTCAGCAATTAAGATGTGTGTATATATCTATATGCATATGTGTGTGTATCTATATGTATATATATATAGATACACGAAATTAATGAACTATTTCACACACATATATATGTGGATATACACACAGACATATACACCTATACGTGCGTACATTCGTATACATATGCATATATAGTAGAGTGTGCATGTGCACGCACATGCGCTTTCAAACCTACAAGGAACAAGTACACCAAAACAAGACAGGGTCTCTTTCCATCTGTGTGTTTCTGCACATGACCCCCTACTTCGAGTCTGTGAAAGCAAATAGCAGCATGCAGCTCTGTGTGTGTGTGCACATACAAAGCGCAGACATCGCATGTGGTCAGAAAGATGGAATGAATGCTTGTCTTTTTCCAACCTGCCAAGCTGTACGTATGCCTGCATCATGAAAGAAGCGCCAAGCGACCGCGCATAGACGCACACTGTAGGCACGGATCAGAACCGATTCTGCGCCAAGCAAGCTTGCACAGCCAAACGGATTCTTTAGCAACCAAGAGGTAAGCTTAAACAACCAAAACGGACCGGTTACACAATCCAGAAACCCCTAGTATAGGCACGCCGTTACGAATGCAGAACATACACGAGCTTGCATCAGAAGACAGACGCATACATGCAGGCATCTGTAGCTTTGCAACTGATTAGGCCCCCGGGTAGACACCTTCTCAGCACAGGGTGCGGCTTGCAAGAGCAAGCCGCATACTCCTGCGAAACCGAGGTTATTGCAGTTTTGGATTTGGGATGCTCTGGGTTCAGGCTCCCCCGTATTCGGCACATTTCGGCACGCATCGCCTTCCGGGTGAGAGAGAGGTGAGAACTGTCTCGCCCATGCTTCTTTTGCAGGGTTCCGCTAAGTGCAAAGAAGACAAATGATGAAAGGCATCTGATGTTGATTCGATTTGGGGCCGTGCTGACTACATAGCCTGTTGCAGGTATTTGGCCGCTTGGGCAGTGCAGATCTCCTGGTTTACGACACAAGGAGCCTTGACACTCGTCATCTGTGCGCCAAATTTTGGATGCCAGGAACCCAGCGAACAACTTTACTCTGCCGGTGTTGGTAAGACGTGCCGGCCAGCTTCGACTCTTGCTGGGGCCCGAGTGTTGATTACTCTGTGGAAACTCGCCGCGCCGCACAGTCCGGAATCCTATCTGTGTCTTCTCCATGCTCGTGGAATGTCGGAAATTCGCAGAATAGCAGTTTTCTGTTTCTGCTGGGACTGATCACGAGCGGAAGAAATTCATTCGCCCTTTCGCCCTCGTCATGCAGGCCCCGCTATCTGCAGATTCGTTTGTCTCCAGATCACCCAGCGGAAGAGGCCGCTACTTTTGGACTCACCCACTAGGCCAAGTGAACGTCGTGTTGCAGAGGTCGTTCGGGTGCAAGCGCGGCCTGAGGAAGGTGGCGACGTCGCCATCTCGGGGAGCTCCTGTGAATCTGCCTTTCCGCGGACTTGCTGGACGTTGCGCTGAGGATGCTGAGCTGTGCCGGCTGCTTCGACTTTCAGCTTGCACACAGCAGCAGCTCAAAGTAGTCCAAATTTCGCGGCGTTGGCTGTGATCTCTGATTTGGTCTCATGGAGCGTATGCCGCATTTCAGGAAATTTGACCTTCTGGAACTGTGGCCATCTCGGCTGCACCATTGTCAAGCTGCACAAGGCGCGTGCTGCAGATGTGAGGCACGGTGCTCTTCCCGTCGGACCAGCTGGTGCCCGAAGTCTCCAACCACACCGCACCCTCCTCAACGGGCACAGTATGGGCACTTTGCATATATTGCATAGTGCAGTCAAACATGCCGGCTGGTACCAGGTTGCTTCCGTACTTGCAGCCTCTTCAGGCGCTTTTTGCCACGTGAATTGTCACATAACAAGTGAAGGTCTTGAATGGTCCTGCAAAAAGCGTGTTGTGCCGGCATCTGGCCGCGCCGTCAAGAGAATTGGTAGGGATCTCCTTGCCCGATCTAGCCCTGGGCATCCTTGCCGTCACAAAGGGACAAGTACTGAAGTACTGTGTACTGTGCAATGTGCTGGAATTCTCGAAGGGAGAGTTTGGTCCCTTTCTGGCAGAGAGGTTTTGGAATGGTGGGGTTGGCGGCCAGAGCTTCGGACAAAAATGAGCTCGCTAAACTTGCTACGTACATCTGAGTAATCCTGAGTATGCTGGCGGCGACATTCCAATCGCAACAGGTGAGTTTGCGACATGCGCCGCCCTTCATGTGAGGCAAAGGGCGTCCGAGATGGAGCATTATTGCACTCGTTCTTTTACGGCTTGAATCAGAATCAGGCCTCTCGCAGCAGGACGATTTCAGCTCATCGCGAAAGCTCAGGAGGCGGGATTTTCCGATTGTTATTGTTCATCTGTTCGGCAGCTCGGCTCTGTTCCCTCATCACTGTTTCTGAATGTGTTGCAGATATTTAGGTTGATGTGCCTGCGCTTCCATCAGCATCGCTTCCCTTCGAGGTTGGGACTTGCATGTGGCCGAAGGGTAGAAGAAGACAGGGCGGATGCTCTCGTGATCTCTCGTGCTACTCTTGCACTAGTTAAACTGTCTTTGGACGCGTCCAGGCAGCAGGTAAGGGCAGGGGAATTGCAAGGAAGACGCTAACATGTCAGGTCTACAAGCCCTTGAATTGGCAATTGCTTGGAGTTCCGAGCCCAGCCGACGTGCTCCACGAGAGGATGCCGAATACTAGCGACGAAGCTCAGCACGGAGCTCTGTCAGGTACTTGCAGCGGCTCAGACCAATCAGTCGGCAGCATTGGCCATGGGCTCAATCTGAGAAGGTCTTCGCCAAAGTCTGGCGCCGGAGTATGGTGCGGAAAAACAAGGCTTCTGGCTGCATGCGTCTTGCATCTGCGACGGCTTTTTGCAACACCCCGCAAGGTCGTGGCACCCTGTTCCTCCGTCAGACTCTGCATCTCCGATGGTCCCCTTGGCTTAACGGTTCAAGGACCGGCTCCTGATCACTAGCCCTGCAGACGTCGTAAGCTGTATAGGACGGGAGACGTGGAATTTGACAGCTGGAGCCCACATAACTGTGCCGGAAGCTAAGCCCGCATCATCACATTGTCGGAGAAGCGAAAGGGAGGGCTTGTTTCTGCGGCCATGTACTTGTTTAATGTTGTTTACTCATTTGCTCACTATTTCTAGTGAGATTACAAGTTAGTGACAATACCTCTTATACTATGACCATTGCCAGCAACCATTGCAATTCCTGTTGCTATTGCAATTACTATCACAATACCGCTATTACTATGGCTATTGCCATGACCAGCACACAATTGTTGTTAACATCATTGTCATTGTTATCATTACTATTTTCATTGCGAGTTCTGTTCTTCTCGCCATCGCATATATGCTTCTTCTACCACTGGCTAACACGACCAACATCATAGCATCACTGCTATTATGAGTATTGTTAATATTATTTTAACAGTTGGTAGCTAATCTAAAGCTGCTTGAGCCATTATGCATATGCCGCTACAGTTATTTTTGTTCTGCGAAAGTTGTCTGTTTAGCCTACTTGCCGTACTATTTCTATTACTATTATTATTACGATTACTATTTCTGTTACGAGTACTAGTACTATGACTTTGACTACTACTATTACTGTTGCTTTTGCTATTATTGTGAATATTGTTATTAGCGTTACGATTATCACTAGTAATACAAGTATTACTAGTATTACTAGTATTACTAGTATTACTAGTTTTACTGTTGACTATTATCACTTTCATTTCCATTACATTTTTGATTGCTATGAACACCAGTATCCTTCTTATCATTATTGTTATTATTGTTACAGCTGTTGTTGCTAATATTGCTATTGCTGATACTATTCTTATTATTGCTATTACTATTTTTTGTTATTACCAATATCACCACTTCTCATGCTCTTGCTACTGCAACTGGTACTGCTGTTACTACTCCTGCTGCTGCTGCTACTGCTGCTACTACTGCTGCTACTGCTACTGCTGCTACTGCTACTGCCGCTACTGCTACTGTTACTATCGTCTCCACTTACTGCCGCAACTTTATCAACGACAATCCCAAAAAATCGGTTCTAGTACAGGCTTGAACGCGTAAGTGCCGCGTAAGTGACGTTAACGTCGACGCAGCCAGATCAAGGCCCCTCCCAATGGACATTGTTGATGCATTTCGCGAGTGGCTGGCGAAGGAGGCACCCCCTAGGAAGCCCTTACGACCCCTGGAACCTCTAGGAAGCCTGCCAGAAGCTCTTACATATAATGCCCCTAACATCTTGTCATCGAGAAGCTTGTAGCATTGCAAAGGTATGTAAACATGCCTTAGCGAAAGTTCCGCAATGGTGGCGCGAAAGTTAGGTTTTTGTTCGTGAGGAAGGTCATTCCGGGATGAAGCAATTAGGATCAACAGCAAGTTACTATTTCCATGGATGTTGCAAGTAACTACTATTTGTGTACGACTGTACTGTCACATGACATCACCGTTACTGTTGCCATTGTACTCCTACTACTACTACGACGACGACGACGACTACTACTACTTCTACTATTACGACTACTACTACTACGACTACGAGTACGACTACGACTACGACTGC